TATTTTTTCAATTCATTTCTTATAATTCTTAAATTCTTCACGAATCATTCATCTTTACTTTCATACGATATTTTATTGACGATAAAATCAAGAGAATATAAATAAATTATCATTATCAGAATAATAGTCATCGTACTAATGATACTAATAATAAGAAAAGAAAGTATAATAAATATGAATAATAGCTATATTAAAAATTTCATAAATATAATATCAATATATATAATTATATCTATAATAATAATCAATATCATTGCCATCATAATTATCGTTTTTATCTTAATAATATTATCGGAAAATAATCAAGATAATTAATAATAATTATTATCCTCGTAATAATGAGAATCCCAATAATTATAGTAGTAATAATAATATCAGAGAGAAATAACAATAATAATAATATTAAGAAAAAATAAAGATAATTTATCTTTCCCAAATTTCGCTGGAATAAAGAAAGTCTTCAGAAATTCTTAGAATTTATAGAAAAATAGTAATCAATCTGGTATTATTTCGTGAAGCGATATTTCTCTATCGGGTTCGTTAGTTGTGCTCTATGACCGAATTTTTCTTCATTCTTATTATTGTTACAATGATGAAGAATCTGCTTCCAGCTCCATGGATCTAAGCTTCTACTGCGTCCCGCGCTGGCATGAGCTTGATCTTGTGCAACTACACATTCCACCTTTCCGCATTTCGACCGACATTTTTAATCTTTTTCACTTTGTGCCAATCGGAGCAATATTTGGGCAATCGAATCTGCTCGCAGGGTGGCGGCCTTGGCGAAGCGCAAACGATGACTTCTGGTCTGCTATGCTCCAGGGATGCTGACTTGGGCTGCTGCCCAAGGTGACTTCGGATGCTTGATTGGAGCTGTGACCTGAAGCTTCTTACCCAAAATGCCTTGAGCATGGGAGAAACGGCTTGCAGCACCGCAGGCACTTCGAAGGCTGAGGACGTTGACTTAGATCCCCACCCGGTCCAGCAACGCATTCCGCAAGGCGATGGCTAATGCCTTGTGACATTTCCATTCGAAAAACCCTGCAATCATCGGGAGACAGTCTCAACTACTCCACTTGGCCGCAGTCTTGATAAGGACCACAACGGGTATGGAAAGTCGTGGCTGACAACTTGCAACTCTACAGCTCGACCAAGTTAAAAAAAAACGCAACTTATGAAGTCTGCTGCGCGCCCTTGAAAGTCAACAAAGCAACACTATCAACATTGGCCTGGTCCTTGATGCCGCCGGTATGTCTTGCAAAGTATCCTGCGTAGCCTTCGAAGTGCTTCCTCAGTCGCGTGTGCAAAATCAAAGCCTTCTGTGAATAAGAAGAGCAACTGAGGGGAGACTTCAGCCAAGCGGATCGCACATGTTTGTGCGTGAAGTTTCTATGCCGAGGTTGCGTCAGCGGTGGTGGCGTAGCGATCAGGGAAGGAAACGCCATGAAGTACTCGTTCATGACCTTTGCAATGGGCCGGAGGGCACACATGAACAAGTTGAACTCCTGTATCGACTTACGGTTTCAGAACCTGTAATCAGGTCCTACATGCTCTCGCTGCCTGCGAAGATGGAAAGACACGTAAAGCTAATGCATCAAGATGGACTTGCACGACAAAAAGCATCCGGTACATGCATGTCCCAGGCCCATCTCACACTCTGAAACGACCGCATGTCAGCCGGCCGGCCGTCTGCTCCAAGAAGAGCTCATGGCGGAATCGCCTCGGAAGTTGCAGCTTCTGGATCGTTCCGGAGAGTCATGGCAAGTCTGAGTCTGACCTGGGTCAATCGTGTCATCTGCTGCTTCGAATCAAACCGCAGGATACCAGATGCTGTGTAGACGAAACTCCAGTCGCTGTTTTGCGAATTGCCGAACTGCTGGTTTGCAGCACTGGAGGATTTCTCGACCTCTAGCAGCCGAAGATGGCAGGCGAGACTGGAAAACTTGTCTAGTAGCTATGCGCTGTTTCTATGCCCCAGTCCAGAAACGTGAACCCTCTTTGACCTCCATTAGCACAGAAGACCTATGGATCCGTTGTGAAACCTTGAGCACTCAGCCAAATCCAAAATCTGATGCTTCAGCTCTCGAGGCTTCAACACCCTCACACACTTTCAAGTTCACATGTCAGGCTTTGGACTTCGAGGTAGTTGTGGAGAATCCGGGCTGCCGAAGTCGGTGAAACTTCTGGGATCGCAGTTCTTCTGCGACCTCTCGAGCCACCCCTGCTGGGCCCTGTCGTTTCTGCAATCAGTGCCATCCTAGATTTGGCCTCACAGGTAACCATTCGAAAAGCTAACAGCTGGCCACTAGCCTGCCTAAACTTGCAGAATATTGGGCTCGAAGACTTTAACGGACTGCAGGCACATGGAAGCCGAGCTGATCTCAGCTTTCCTGATTTCATCTAGTTTCGAAACTCAACCAGTCTTTGCGCAAGGCTCCTTTGAATTGAGATCTGTGTGTCCTGCATCCCAGTAGGGACATGTATCTGCAGTGGACCACAGGAGGGACAGCCAAGAAAAGTGCGGACCCTCGCGCTGACTTTGGTTAAGACGGTTTCATCTGATGATTTCTACACTGGCAGCCACAGTCCAAGCCAGCACCGGATGTTTACAACTTGGTAAGGCAGACTTTGCGGGCTCAGACTGCTCAAGGAGTTTTCTTGTGAGGTATACTGCGTACACTGCATACACCACCCAAAGTCAGTTGCAGGCGAATTACTATTGCTTGCGATCCCACATGTAGCACTCGAAATGCTTAGTTGAGGGAATAATGATGAAAACATCGCCCCGAGCGCGAGCCTCGGGTCTTAAGAACATGATGCTTTGGGGATCAAAGTCTGTTGGCTCAATTTCACCACTGTATGATCCAACTTGACTTGTAGGGGCACGGTTGAACTCATTGCCATAGCTGCTGGCGCTTTTTCTTCGATAGTGGTGGCAGCGTAGCCACTGCCGGCTGAACCTGCGGCATAAGCTGTCAGATGGAGCTTGCCATGCCAGTTTGCTGCAGGACGGTTTCAATCAATGTTGCAAGTTTTGGATGTCGAGGCTACAAGCCCATGCCGGCAGTAGGCGACTACGGCCCAGGTTTCTTGACCCTCTTCTGCGGCTCATGTGCTTCCAACACTTTCTCAATCCAGCGGTCTGGCACATCGAACATTTTGTACTGGTTGCTTCAACCAAGAAGCGCGATTAACTATGGGGCTCATCAGGGAATGATGCGCAATCTTGGTGACTTGTCAATGTCTAGGCCTTCTCCCACAGGGCCTGACACTAGTCTCACTAGTGGCCAACCACGGTCAGAACGAGCAACTGCAAGTTGTCGGGGCTTGCTTGTCTGGGGCCGGGCTCTGGTTGTACCTGGGTGCGACAAACCAAGCTCTTTGGATCTCTCTCGGGTTTGATGCACCCGTTCCCTGGCGTGTCCTACAGCCCCAAAGATCTGAGAGTGGACCGCTCTTCCTAGAAGAGTCGCTGACTACAGGCTTCAGTCGTAAATCAGCATTTGCGGCGTGCCCTTGACGGTAGCATCTGAAGTCTGCATCGCACGGCCAGGAGCACTGTCAATCTCGCAATGGGCCTCCGTTCTGCACTCTGACTTTAAGCCTCCTCAAGACTTTCTCCCTTGAGCGCTCCAAACTCCTGTTGGACACGCACCTGCCTAGAAGCCACACGCTCGCATCTTAAGACTAGGACACTCAAGACCCCGAGGACATTTTGAGCCGCAGCAAAGGCCTCAGAACAACGAATCTGAACAAATGAGCAAAAATCGTGTAGGCATCAAGAAAGACATGTCCAGCTCGGTGCGGCTACGCTTGGGGCGTGTGAGAATCAATCGACTGTAACTAACTCTGTCAACGGCTATCGTCGCAAGGAGTGGGTGCTGGGTGAATTCCCGTACTGAATCGCCTGCTTCGCTCCATGTCTTCGAGGAGTCAGCTGCTTCCTGTCAGGGCAACTGGATGGACACATGGGTGCCCGAACTCACAAATAGCTTTGGTCAGGCTGTCCTGCTTGGGAACTGGCTGTAGCAAGTGCTCATGGCTTGCCGCTTCCTCGCAATCGACAGGAAGGCAAAACGGCTGACACCAATGCCTCCGAGAGTGTCAGATGCTCTGAGGCTCTCTGAGGCTGCTGCATCGACGGGCCGCGAATGAACCGCGGAGTCGTAGCCCGAGCCGTGTCTGCCAGCATCAACCCCAAACACAGTTACTCCGGAGGTGGGGCTTCCCAAATTTCCTCAGTGTATGGCTTTGCGCGGGGTCCACGGCTGAGAACAGGTGGAGAGGAACCGAGTTCATGGTCACGATTGATCTGTCGTTCTCTGGACTTGAAATCTGCAGCATCCCGCGGGGACCGAGCAGAGTGGTTACATCGCCCTGTTATCGATGACACATGGCAGAGGTTGAATCGCATATGTTTTTGTGGAAGCACGCAGCATCTCTTCGGCCTGCATCTGTCAGGATAAAGTCCACGAGATTGTCGCGCTTTTGGAGTGTTCTCCGCTCAATCGGCGGCACCTGCATCGATGCTGCCCAAGTCGACGGGGGTACAGCCACTAGCATCGCTTCACTGCTTAGCCGGCCCATTAGTGCAATCAACATCTCGTCTTAACAGTGTGGACTTTACCGAGAATGGATGTTGTCTCGCCGCATCACACCAGCCTTTGAACCGTAAGACTCGACTCGTGCTCAAGGGAGGGGTGAGTGGCATCTTGCTGGCTTTGTGCACTCACACTGGAGCAGTCAGATCAGATTCTTGGGCAAGGGGGTTTACGACGATGCTGACTCTTTCCTGTGCTTAGTACTGCGACAGATGCAATCAATCTGCCCGGCAATGCCCGGATGCCCGGTCCTCTGGTCGTCTCGCTCGAGCTGCCTCGTTTGCCATCTGCTCGTAGTCGAAAGCTGGGCTCCGTGAGTCCGAGCCGTCCGTCGCCTCGTTCAGTGCAGGACGGCTAGGCTTTCAGATGCACCGAGAAATCTCAGGATTCTCAGGGGGCCGTGCTGTGGCACAAGAGGTGGAGGCTTGCAAGAAGAGGGCGCTGAAATGCTTCATGTTGGGAGGTGCGAGCCATCATACTTGTGACGCGTGTTTACAAGATTCCACCGGTCTGCCTACTCAAGTCCGGTGAGGTCCATGCGGACCGGAGATCAACCACTGCTGAAGCTGCAGAAAACGATGGAAGGGAGGGCGTGTGAGCAGGTAGTATGGCTCGATGCGGTGGGCTGGGTAGAAAGCTGCGTGCACGCTGCAAAGACGGTGCAGCCAATTCTTTGGATTTGCTACTGCGGGTGCAAACGTCTCGTCAACCTACAGCTCTATCAAAGTGCGTGATTGAGCAGCAGCAGTTGGGACTCTACATGCTGCCTGGCTAGTTAGCGGTCGCCTGGCCTTCAGTGTCAAACTCGGAGCACGGCTTCTGCTCGGTGCAGTTGGTGCATAACCCTCCTTGGGGGCTGTCGGATTCTTCTTAGGTGCTAGAGGGAAAGTATGACTACGACACCACGGGCATACGTAGATTGTTGCACAGGTGCAGCATGCGAAACCGAGACCACCTTGTCGCAACTCACATCTGCATAGATTTCAGCGAGCAAAGAGTCGTTGTGCACCTCCCGAGGCAGCGGTGCTTTGCTGCGGCCGGCCGGGTTCACCTCACGGTCCAAGCAGCTGTACAAATAGAACTGCTTGAACATTGTGTCTGCCGATGTATTACGTGCTCTTTCACACACAACCATTCCTGCCAAACGCCGACAGGTTCCAACAAAGTCCTGATTGCAAGCCTGTGTATGCCTGTGTTGTCTTGAACCATTTTGTTGCAGGTGGGTTGCTGTCAAGAAATTGCAAGCAACTTACTCTATAAGTATGCGTATATACATATATATATATATATATATATAATATGTATGTATGTATGTATGCATGTACGTACGTACGTGGTATGTATGTATGTATCTCTCCCTCCCTCTCGCTCTCACGGACTCAGTCACCTGTCAGCCGCGATGCAAAACACAGCGATTTCGGTAGGTGCCCGTACCTACAATGTGTGTGTGTGTGTGTCTACAATGAGTGCGAGAACCGCAACTACCGAACTACAAAGACTTACATGTAGTGCCCATTCATCTGAAGTTTCTTCCATACAGAGTTGAGGTAGTTGTTGCCATAATTGTGCGCATAATCGAACGCATGAGCGGGCCATGTAGTGATACTACAGCAGCAGGACATAGCGGTTGCACCACGAACAGGTCTCCCTGCAGCATGAGTACATGAGGAAAACTGAGCCAAGACCGCATGCAGTGCTCCACAGAAGGACAACTCAAGCCAGCCAGATGTCTCACACAACCGCTTAAACGACCACGACCATCAAGACCTCGATCGAACAGGACTGCGCGAAGCCACGAAGTTGTTGCCAGAAAGGGGTCCCTCCACCTCAACCACATGTTGTAGTGAATGCAGGGGTGCTCCGAAAGTTGCAGCCCATGTTCCTGTAGGGCAATCGGAACGAAGGACGACCACTTGCTTGTCAAGATAGAAATTGGATAGATGTCAAAGACTTTCTGGCACATACTCAAGATCCACCTTGTGCAAGTGCCGGCTCGTCCCTGTCTTTGTTGATGCAAGGGACAGAGGAGTTCTTGACGAGCCATATTATGCTCACTCGGCCTTCGTAGCAAGTGACCAAAATATCTGTCTTTGCGATGGAGCCACGCGACAGTCCGCAA